GATAATTTATTGATTTGATTACTCTAGTTCTTTTTGACCTTTCATCAGCTGTCATTACAGGATTGCAGGATTTCGGATATTTTTTGGATGGTGTCAATGGGAAGCTGGAGCCGGTGGGGGGGGGTCGGTGGACTGTGGGTTGCCTACATTCAGGGGTTTTGTAGCAAAAATTGCCTACCTTTCAAGCGGCTCATTAGATAGGATGGGGTGGGGGGGGGATTTCCCCCCTCCCTCCCTATACCGCGCCTGGTATGTGGCTACAATACCCCATGGTCGATTTTGTCTCTGAAAAGTTCAGTAGCCTTCAATTAAATGCTAAGTATCCATGACACTCGGACACGTTCGAAAATCAACCGTGTTTTCGAACCAAACCCAAAGTTGTAAGGTTCATCAAAATTTCCGTCGATTAAAAAGTTGCTTCAGAGATATGAAAAAATTATCTTTTGTTCACTCAAACTGCGTTTGAATTTTTTATGAAATTAATTACCTTCTATAACTATAACAGTAGGACAGTAGTTTGCGGTCCGGACGGGACTGGCTTCCCAATACGCGACCGACCAGGCTCCGCGGGCCCCCGTGGGAGTAGGCAGCCCGACTACACGCGTGCTGCGGTGTGGCCTAACCGACACTTAAGAAGACTCACCCAGATCGGGGAAGGGCAGTAGAAGGGGTTGAGGTGGCAGCCGCGCCTCGTCCTGAGCGAGGGTTCTCTGACGGGAAGCTTGGAGCGGCACGCTGTCCTGCCTGTATCGCACGCCTCCCGGGCTGCCGTGGGGCGTTGTACGGGCGGTAGCCGCGGAGTACGAGGAGGACGATTCGGGTGGGCGACCGCTCCGCGCCGGCCAAGACAGCGTTCTACACCGCGCCGCCACAGAACAAGAGCCAGGCCCAGGCGTCCGACACCGTCAAGCGCGGAGCGGCGCGGCGGGGCGGGGTGCGGCGGAGTGGGGCGGGGCGGGGCGCAGCGGCGGGGCTTGCGCGGACAGCCAGACGCGAAGATAGATAATAAGTCAGGGTGAGGAACAGGGGTGAGGAAAGGACAGAGAGGGTGAGGGGTTCATAGGGAAGTGTTAGAGAGAGAGATCGATAGAGAAAAAGGGGGGGGGGGTCAAATTAGAGGCCAATGAATGGTTACATAACTCGCACATGCGTGTGTGCGTGTTGTAGGTCCGCGGGAGCGGTTTTGATGTTCCGACGACCGAAAATAGACGATGCCATATTCCAGAACATATTTCGCCTATAATGAGTGCTTGTTTGGGATCTGAGCTGAGTAGGGAGGGAATTCCCAAACGAGCGGCCTTCGTTTGAACGCGGCAGAGCAAGAAAAATAAGGGTGAGGTAGAGGCGCCCATGATCCTGGCTCTTGCAGATTTCGTGCGAAACAAACAGGGGATCCAGCTTATTATGAGCCACACGGGCAGAACGCCCCGCAAAAGCGACATGCGGCGCGAGGGCGCAATCTCTTTTGTCATCCTAGTGAGGTAAACAAGGCAGCAGTGGCGATGGCGATGACCCGGCGCCGAGGAAGACGCGACAAGCGAAAGCCGGGAATAATAATGATCGCAGATGTTGGACGATTGGACTCGCGGGACTGATATCCCGGTGGAGGTGGATTACATAAATATCTCCTGGCTGGAAGAGGCGGCGACATGGCCAGAGCGACGCCACCGTCCGTCTACTCCGCAGGCCACGCGCGCAGTGCGGAATGGTTCACGCGTGCAGCAATAAGTGATTCAACGACTTCATCGGTTGCAGCAGAAGCCGATGCATCACAACGTGGAATGCCAGCAGCTGTGTGTTATACTTTCGGCGCCAGCCTGTAATGACCACCCTCACGACGCGCAATTAGTCTCTTAATCTATTTATTATTATTATTTTTAATTCCACGCTCCGGCCGGCGTGTGTGCTGGGTACAAGACCCAGTTACATAAACGTTTAATCCTCCAGTGCGAAACGATCGGGTGGAAGAGTTTACTGCGTCTCTGGCGCCTGTAGGTACACAGTCCAGAGACTCCCATCTAAATCTTGTTGTCAAATGTTGCCGTGCTCCTTCTTTCCTTCCCCATTCTGAATAATGAACGCCGATGCGCCGAGCCCGCCGGTCCACGCGCGAGACGGGCTAGCTCGCTGCAGGCGCCTGGTCCTTTTCGTCGGGATGAGGAAAAATACGGAAAGAAAGCTGTCACAGACCGCGTTCTCCTTTGCCAGCAAAACAAAAACAACAACAGGTTGTTGGGAACTTCCCTCTCCCCACCGCCGGCAGCGCCCAGTGGCCAGGCCACCCGCCCGCGAGGGCAGGTAGAGCCCCTGGCAATGCCCAGGTAGGCCAGCACGCCGTGCGCACAAGTATAGCAGAACTGCCTACCTCTCAGGGGCCCCGGGCGCCGTGCGCCCGCTCTCCGGTAGGGTCCGTTCCCTATATTCTGGCAGACCGGCTAGGCTTTGCTTTCCGGTCGTCTTTGTTAGGCTCATAAACACCGTGGTCGAAGGGACGGTACCCGAAAGTTAGAGTGGTCACCTCGCCGAGCCGAGCTTGGGCGTGTCTTGGAGAGAGGAGACCTAAGCAGGTCGGGAGGATGGGTGGACACTCTACATCGGCAGGTCAAACTTTATAACGCACCGGAACACACCCTGCTCATGAGTTACACAATGACTAAATGTCTCGAAAACCTTCGCTTGCCGCTCTGCCAGAATAAAGCGAATGGGCCCTATCGTGTACGGAAAACACAGGACAAGGAAACTAGATGGTTGATAATAAAGATAATTTATTGATTTGATTACTCTAGTTCTTTTTGACCTTTCATCAGCTGTCATTACAGGATTGCAGGATTTCGGATATTTTTTGGATGGTGTCAATGGGAAGCTGGAGCCGGTGGAGGCGGGAGGAGACAATTAAGGGATTAATGGGTCCTGTAAATGAAAAATGTTGCAGTGTGGTTAGTGTCACCTCTCATATTGTGTAAATAGACAATAGATGACTGAAAAATGTCTGACCTCTAGCAAGGAGTCCTAAATGGTGCGGCGCGGGTATTCTATGGTATGTGAGGTAAGTAGCAAGCTTGCGCAGAATATCACAGTTACCAATTGGCTTCCCATTCATAAAGTACTGCCTAAGCAACGGCTGAAGGTCTGAAAGTGATAAAAGTATGTGTAATAAAAGAGATTGAAAAAGTGTTTGGAAATACAAAAAGATCGTATATGAATATATAACCACCTCTTTCCCATGATTCAAGAATTTTGTTGACTGTCTGGTGAGTAGACAATGCCAAATCTGGTGTGACCACAGGTTTGTCGCCAACTCTTCCCTGTCTTAAAACTTGGGCCACTAGAAGTTTCAGCTGCCAGGTCAATAGTGGGCAAGGTGCACGCTTCATACTTTGAAGAGCCTGATGCAAACGAAAGGAAAAGTCAAATATAAAACAATCTTTACATAGTACACAACAGTACTACCGTTCAACATACCTTCAGAGTTGTTATCCAAATAGAGAGCACCATTCGCTTATCTTGAGTAATACATTCATAAACAAGTGCAGTTAATAGTTGAACCAAGTGCCTTTCACTTTCTCCACCCATCAATTTTTGTGTTTCTTCAGTGCCGTCTTGCTCTAAAAATAAGCGAGCAAAACTCACCATGGTAGGGTCAGAAGAGAAAGCAAGTATAGACTCAGGCTGCAAAAAAAATAAAAAATAATAGCAACATACAAGTGTAATCTTTGTACCCAAAAAAGTAGTATAAGCAACCAATCAAACTGTAATACTAACTGGAACACTCCATGCAGATACACTTTGTGCAGTCAAAGTTCGGGCAAGCAGGCTACGGAAACCATGGGGGTCATCAGAATAAGACAAGCACCCAGCTCGTTGCTTCACATCTACAGTAGGAGGGCCTTCCAAAATACGCCTGCAAATTTTGCAAATAAAAAAATTTATAAGAGTGATGTAAGAATCAGGTGATAGGAATAAAACCATTCTATATTTTGAACATACTTAAGGAGATCCCAGTTCTGATCTCTATGGAAAACCATTGTCCAATATCTTTCATCTTCTATCCTCACCTAAAGAATAAAATAATTTTTCAAGTTTTTAACAGTCTAAATAGATAGTTCTATAACTACCATAAATCTATACATAAGTTTATTTATCCAACCTCTTTCAGTGTGGATAGTTCAGGGAGCAAACATGGTGCTCTTAATTTTGCCACTTGATTGGAATAATGATGTGAATCCAAATAAACTACAGTGAGATGTGCATAGCAAACAACTCCTGTGTCAATGTCTCGTGGAACTAAAAGACGTGGCTCAACAGCAAGAACATACAGGTGGCGGAAGGCTTGAAGGTGATATCTGTAAGACAAAGATTTGGATTTAGATTAGAAAAATATGCTCTCCTACAGAGAAATAATTATAGAATAGTAATAATGTGACACATAAGACAATTACCTATTGTCGTTACTGTGAGTTGGAAACTTGGGGAAAAAGGCAGCAAGCATAGCAGCTATAGCAGGGGGTGAGGTTGATAATGTATACCTTCCTCCACCCATCAGTAGTAACCCTAAAGCCATATGGGTTGCAAGGTGAGATCCATAAGTAACAACAGAATTTGTCGGGCCCACACGAGCACGCAGGAAACGACAAATTCGCATCACCTCCAAAGAGCCACTTCCTGCCATGACCTTCCAAAAATAATTACAAATTATTTCTTCAATGATCAAAATAATTTTCCACTAACAGAGGAAGTTTTTAAAAATGACTCACCATTGCTAACGACAGAACAATAACATTCAAACTTGTTTCAATTGTGGACTTTCCAGCAAGTTCTGCGATGGATTTACCCAACAGGGATGTGAATTTCTTTGCATACATCAAGAGGGTATCAAAGGCTTCCTTATTATGTGACCCAGCAAATCTCAACCCAAGTGATAAGCAAGCACCAGCCAGGATGTTGCAATATGCTTGGCTAAAATTTAAAAAGATGGTTTAGTTTGGAATAAGAATAGGGAATCATACAGAATATATCAACAGTACAAATAGTAATTACTTCATTGTTTCATAGTCAATGAATTCAGAAGCATTAACTTTAGGCTTTACAAGACAATATGGGCGAATAGTGTCTGGTATGTGAGCTTCAACCCATTCAACATTAGGTAAAACCTCATCCCATAAAATAAGGTTCCGAGCAATCATTCTGAGTAACAAGAAATCTGGACGAACAAAGTCTAAGAGATACTGCGTGTCAGGTGCTTTCATCCAATCTGCAACAGCTCTGTAGATTCAAAAAGTAAAATTAATTTTAAAAATTACATTAATACATCAAAATGTACAAGTTTTCCAACTACTTTTGGCCTTACCTGTTGCCTGTATTAAAATACATCATGCCTAATGCCAAAGTGGCTCCAGGACCCGTTACATCAATATTCAGTGAGTCTCCTTCCCTAATGTGAAAGCTTGGACATTTGTACTTTTCTTTCTGAGAACCGGTCACAGGTCGCCGATGTCCTCCTACCATGTAATAATGAAGTGTGTCAGGAATAGCCAAATCAGCAAGTCCACATAGTTCAGACCCCTGCCCAAGCACCACAAGCCCTAGAGCAAGACCAGCAGCCAAGGAGTATGACTCCCTGTCCACATTATTCTCCATTTCAGGTCCTGGAGGCCTTCCTAAACAGAAAATAGAATTTGTAAAATGACATCTTAGGTAATATCAAAAACAGCAGCCTGGGTCAAGAATTTAATAAACTTATGATACTAGATAAGAAATCTAACCGATCTCAGACAGCAATACTTCTGCAATGCGACGATGACCAGTTCCTTGGTATACAAGACCAACCCCTAATAAAGCAGCTACTTGTGTATTTGGACCAACATCAAGTTCAATTGAGGTTGGTGGAAGAAGAGCTTCAACATGAATACTTAACATTTTTGTTGCATTTACATCCATTGTGCCTGCAAAAGAGCATTGCAATGCAGCCATGGTAATATTCTCAAATTTGTCTTTAAGATACTAAAAAAGATGACTGTTACCTCTTTTTGAAGCAGCAATGCCAAGAAGTAGTCCTACACTGGTCATTTCATGACATTTTACTAGATACTCAAATTTATTTAAGACAGCTAAAGTATTTAGATGACCATTGAGACCTAGTGCCATTAAAAATCCTGCATGCTCAGTCAAAACTTCGCTTCCACCCTAAAAATATATCAAATAAACGTATGAGTACTGTATCTACAAATATAGTTTCACAGAAAAATAGAGAAATATTTTTCAAACCTTAGGTTTGTTGTATACAATCCAGGTGGAATCAATGTTAGGAGCAGATAGAGCAATGCGTAACCCAGCAGCAACACCATTATGAAACAGGGGCCACATATTCATATTTGGGACAACATCAATATGAGATAAATCAACAGTTGTACCTCTTGGAGGTACTTTGCCAATAAGACACAATCTGGGGATAGGCAAAGGTTCTGTAATGACAGGAAATGATGAACGTAGAGTCAGCATTCCTCTGAAAATAAGGGAGAAAATAACTTAGGCAACAGGATACTAAATAATATTTATAAAAAGAGAAATGTCCAAAATAATTTACCTTCCAACTGGAAGCGCCATTGTTCGAGTACACAGTGCATAAAGATGCTTTTCCTGCTCTTCAATGAACTCATGGTCGGAAACTTCTGGTCTTTGCTGGATAGTAATGCTAACTGGTTGAGAGGATTGAAGCAAACGTCGAGCTTCAGCAACTCTTTGATCTTTAGGCCAACGTAGTTTTGTTATCTGGGTAAAGATTTTTTTTTTTAACATGACATTACTTCTAACAATTATAGCAGGACAAGGCAGAACTTAATGTTTCTAAAGAAATACCATATTAAGAATTTCCATGTCATCGTCCAATTCATTTCCTTGGGTAACACGCGTTGAGGTTGGACCACCATTACCTAGAGTGCCAAGACATTTGGATCCTTTTGAGGTATTTTTTGGCAAGACTTTTGTTGGCTCATACTGAGATGCTAAATCCTGACGAGCTATCAATTTGTAAGCAGCCTAATAAAAGAAAATGAATGAAAAAAAAGGGCTGATATAGTGACAGGGCAAATATAAGCACAATACTTACATGAGGCCAGTCCCTTGGAGGGTTTTCTCTTGCTTGGTACAATGCATCACATAATAGAAGAAGAATTGCTGAAGGAAGTGTATGTAAATCTCGACGTGCAAAGCCTTTAAATTTTATGAGAAAAGAATAAGTACATGCACATTGATAAATTTTGAAAATTATATCTAGAACGTCGGCAAAATCTCACCCATTTCCACCATAAGTAAAACTGCTCGATGAGCTGCACTTCTCTCCTTGTTCAATCTTAGAGAGGAAAGCTCCTGAATATCATTACGGCTACCAGCTGGCACAATAGGTCGCACAAAACTTTCCAGAGATGCATTGGGCTCTTTCAAACCAACAGTTAACAAACTAACAAGCTAAAAAATAACATAAAATATGAGAAAACATTTCCAGGAAAGTAAATAAAGTATGGTGGAGACTACAAACCTGAACAATGTCTCGAGTTCTCTTATTAACATGTCGCAAATATGGAAAGGGGATAGGTCTTGATGGGCCTTGCATAAGAATCAACAAATGCTCAAAAATGCTTGGTGGCTCTGGTGGCATATAACTTGGAGGAGACAGCTTTTGCAAATCAGTATCTTTTATTTGGCTTTCCTGGAAGGCATAAAATATGGTTCAGTGAGAAAATGTTCAACCAGGAACAAAAGAAAGGGAAAAACAATATTACAGATACGCAGAATTGTAAAGGGATACAGTGGTGAACAACTGTACCTTAACAGGAGTGAGTGGACAATGATTTGGAAAATCTCGCCAATAGTGATGAGCATATTGAGCATACTGCAAGTCTGACGCCAACTGATGAAGAAGTTGTGCAAGCAGAGGTTGACTATCTAGAAGAAGTGTGTTGAGTTTCATATCCTGGAAAAACATTGGTAAATCCATGAAAATACAATGGAAACTTAATTTATAATTTATAAAATTAAAAAAGCAACTTGTATCAGTTCAAACTCACCTCATAAAGTAAATGTAAAGTTAATAACACCAAAGGAATGTAATTGAATAATAAGGAATTAGTATTAATGTGTCCATGGGTTGCATCACTTTCAGAAGCTCCAGAGGATCCATTGATAGGCTTCAAACCCAGAAGGGAAGAAAGCCCAGGACCCAGTGAATGATGATGTAGGGAATTTAATAAGTACTCCCAGTCCTAACAGATAAAGTAAAAATTAATTTAGGTGACATATTAGTAGAATATACTGGTACCCAGAGTAAATCACCTCTTCAGAACCACTATCACAAGTCCGCTTTTTCTTCGGTTGCAAAGTTGGACTATCTCCACTTTCTGATGAAGGCTGATGCATAACTGCCAATTTATCAACATCATAACCCAACATACCTAAATTAAAAACATTGTTTAAAGAAAAAACAATAAAAAAAACACTTTTTAGAAAATTTGTTAAGGTTTTGTAGTAATGTAGGGATATAAGTGAGCGTACCAAGCAAAACGCCAAGGAAAAGTCGCCACTCCTGACTTGGTGCAATATCTTGAGTTCCAGGAGCATTTCTAGCGACATACCACTTGACTACAAGTTGCACAGCCACATCTCTTGGTAATACTTGCTTCAGTGCACATAAACACTGGGAAACTACATGAAAATCAACAAGTAAAATATAATGGCAATATGGCAACAACCAGCGTTTGTCAGACCTTTTAAAGCAAGATTTTACATGGGAGGAAAAAAAAAAAGCAACACTAACCCAGAGGAGATGAACACATTTCTGGAAGTGACATACGGTAGAAAGATCCATTTGAATATTCCTGGAGGATATAAAAGATAGATAGAATAATAAGCAAAGATGATTGATGTTATTGTGACAACTTGACTTACCAAAGTCACCCTATTTTTCACTGGATCTCTAAGAGCTAGAAGGCCTTCTCTTGGGGTTCCTTGGGAAGAGATAGGAGCACTGCTACATATGGGAGACTCCCTACTTTTGTCATGAGGCACAGGTGATAGCATCTCAGCGCGTTCATCAAAGAAGGGCTCTTGAAGAGAATTCACATTTCTAAAAGAAGGCAGCAAACTGCTTCGCCTAGGAATAGGAGCTGGAGACATGGAAAAGCGATCTAGAGGATCTGCAGCTTGCTCGTAAGTAGCCAAATTGCGAACACTTGGCAACAGACTGCTTCTCCTTAAAAAGAAAACAATTATAGTATAAGTACGTGTATTTGGTGAGGTGTGCTCCGATTTTATTAAAAATAGTTTACCTTGGAAAGGGAGAACCAAACTGATTAAACAAGTTAATGGGGAGAAATGAGGTGTTCACATGGGATGGCATTCCTGGCATATGAACTTTACCAACAACCGTTGTTCCAGAGTACAAGACAACACCCCCATTTGGTTCAACAACCAATACCATGTTTAGATGCTGTAGTGAAATAAAATATAAAGTTGTGTATGCATAGAAAAGCCAATATAAATAATAATTGTACAGGAATAGTGATACTAAAAATAACAAAAATACTTCTAAAAATAATAACAGGATAAGTGAGAGGGGAAAGTACTTACAGTGACAGGAGCTGCATCTACTGCAGGAACACCTGCTGTCATGCCAAAAATAAGCCGTTCTGATGTATTGGTTTTCTCTAATCGTGAAAACAACAATTGCCTCCTTAATGGAACCAGATAGCATAGATATCTTTGCCCAACCACATCAGTAGTCAAAAAAGCCAATTTCGCTGGACCAGACTTAATTCCATCGCTGGAAACAAATTTTAACAAATTATGCACACATCAACCACTGTATCTACTGACAAGCACGTAATTTTGGTGCTTACCCATATGAACTACTGCTTTCAGTCCACACAGGTTCTAAACAAATCTGTGGGCATACAGGCCGTGGGTCCTGGGCACAGTTATCTGTCAGCATTCGACTAAAGGCTGATGGGGAAGGTGTACTGAGAAATGAAACAGGACTTGAAGGTCCACTAGGAGACTGAAAGTTTCTTGACCGATTCATCCATGGTTGTGGAGAGCGAGAGGGTGACTGATGCTTACTGTATAGAGATTATTAAAATAAGTAAAACTGCTTTCAAAATTTCAAACACAAGGAAGTTCATGCACAAACCTCATGTTAGCCATTGGACTTTGAGGTCGTGAGAACGATTGATTACTGTTGTATGGACTGCTGAGGCCGGGGTTCATTGATAGATTCCCAAACAAACTACGATGCAGACCTGCATTGGATGAGGTGCTAACATTGCCACTACTTAAATACACTGAAGAAGAAAGGTTTAATGAACTCTCTGTTCCACACATTGCTTGACTTTCCTTTAAAGAAATAATTAGAAACGAAAGGGTTAGGCAGTTGCGAACAAAATAATTTTAAGCAGTACAGTTCAACAGCCCATACCTCTTGATGGGCCTTTCTCATTTTCCACACAGAATGATAACAATTCTTGGAATCATACATCATAACTATAGGAGGGTCATCAGAGCAAAATACAACATGTTGGGAAGGATCACTCATGAAATTAACGCTTCCTGAAACAAAAGAATCTGATATACAAAATCCGCACACTTTTTGGAAAAAGTTTGGCAAATGTAAATTTTAATACCTTGTTTAACTATAACTGGTGTGATTTCATCAAGAGGATGTAGAAGAGCAAATAGTGTTGGTAGCCGTCCATCTTCATTGGGACCAATAGCTCTCTCCAGTAGGAGGCCATGACATGTACTCCACACACTACGAAGCTGAAATGAAATGAGTGAGAGTAGTCATTAGTCTGGTTTTACAGTCACAAGCAAATATAGAATTATACATTGTGAGCCTTATAGAAACTGCTCATACCTTAAACTGTAGAGATGCAATAAAATCCTCCCCATCAGATGAGAATGCTTTAATGTTACTTTCATCAACTATACACACACAGGACATGGGTTTCCCTGTTTCATTCAATTAAATGATAGTTAAACATTGAATTCTAATCCAGAAACAGGAACAAATTTGAAGGTCATGTAAGTACCTGAAGTACGGTCAGTAGATGGTCTATCTGATGCTGCTGTTTGAAATGTTGTCCACAAAGCATGAGATACATTTGTTTCCCCTGTGTAGCTGCAAATGACAACATTGCGACTTCCGTTTGCATCTGATGGTCCTGGCTGCGCAGGGTCAGTTCCTTCTCCTCTACTCCACACAACAGTTTTACCTCGGATATATAGTTCTTCTTCACATTGCGGGTAATCAGGACTTTCTCGTAGGACCCACCACTCGGCCTAAAAAGTGAGAAATACTTTAATTTCATAGAGCTTTTTTTTGAAGGAAAGTATTACTGAAGTAATAAAATTAATAGAACTTCACTCACATCAGAGTTGTCTGATATGTTGACCTGGCTGAGAAGGTGCAACAGATGAGATTCTGGCTGCAGTTGGGGTTTAGTTGAAGGCAGTATGACAGAACCTGGATGATTTTGTAGCCTTTCACGCCCACAAGGCACAAATACCTGAATTATGTAAGTAAAACATTATTCACTAAAAACAATCTAACATGACAAGACCATGGTACTGTAGAAATAAAACACACTTACGACATGCATTACTTTTTATTTTTTAATTATTATGAAAAAAAATCAAACCTTTGGTTCTGAGGCAGCAATCATGTCGTGATTATCCAGTTTCCCTGGACTGGGGGAAAGTGAATAGTGGCCACTTGAACAGGGTTTGGTTATGTTTACAGCTGGCATTGGCTACATGGGTACGAGGAGGAGGTTCTACCCATGCCTCGAGACTATTCTTTAAAACTAAGCCCCGAAAACTCTAAAAACACTAAACACCACTAAATTAAAATGTCCATCATGTCGCACTAGCATGACATTGTGGAAACAAACAAACAGACTTCGTTGTTTTTTTTCGGTTTTCGTTCTCCCGCGCCGGCAACTATCGATCATGCCTGCGAGACATCGTTAACAATCTTTCGAATGGTATGAGAAACTGCGCTTAACACTAAAATTCTCCCGCTGGTTGAATCAGGTTGAATCCTTGACTTCAACTTGAGTTTGATGCTCTCACCTTTCAACAAAACTCGGTAATTTTGTAGTGTTTTAATTTTACCATTGTATCATGACTGCTGTCAAACCCATATACATCTGTAAATTTCTGTGTCACGTACGTTCTTAATCATTTCCCACTGCTCTTTTCGCGTTAAAATCTGGGATTAACCTCGGCTGTGTTCAGAAATTTGACGTGAGGAATGCAGTTATTTTTGTCAGAAGCCGCTCATAATGTATTAGAACATTTCGAAGTTTCCGTGGAATTTTCTGCTTGTATCCGAATTATATCAAGGAGAATGGCCTGTAAAGCCAGGCTGTCATTTGGTGTTTGTACCGTTGGGTACCGTCTGGAGGGGCTTTTAGCTTTGCTTTGTTTAGGCCCAACGAAGCCTGGACATCTACTTCGACGAATCCGCGATTAGATTCGTAGCACTGTGAACTCATTTTTCTGAGCTTTTGAGTGGGCTTGTAAGCCTTTCTGTTACATTCCCGATGTGCGGACGTTTGTAGTGGATTCCAGTTGATAATTCTTAGTATTGTCTCAGTTTACCCATTTAGGCTAGGTTAGGTGCATTTTGGCACTACGTCTTCACGCCGACGATAATAACACCTTTCATTCTTTTTTTTTCTCTTGTGGCCAATTTCCATGACTACATTTTAGCAGCCAAAGTCCCATTGTGTGTCACATGCTTTTATAGTGTGGCCTTTTCCATTACATAAGTCGCAGTACTATGAGGTGCTTGACAGTATTTGTAGATATTTTGACAGCTTGTTACAATTATATGTGGCGGTAAATTTGTTAATAGCTTCAAAATTTTTAAATTCTCAAGTTTCATTGGGTGTTCCCCTTATTTCTCAAACGTTATCTTACAGTATTCATAAGTTTGTATTCAGTTGACTCGAAATGAAATGTCAAAATTGTAGGAGTGTTACGACGTGAACTCAAACTACTTTTTGGCATTTTACAGTAATTGGCTTTTCAGTACACTTATATTTTATACCAGTTTTTTTATTTCGGCTATCAGAAGTATGACTTTGTTGTGCTCTATTGCATTATTAGGGGTCAAATTTTGATGGCGTTTTCATGTGGTCCATCTTTCATAACAATCTTTGTCTTATAAGTATGAAATATACTGGAATAAGTGACAAGTCATAAGCCTCCAATAAATTTTATTGCAGTGCTGCAAAATGTATCGATCTGGTGCTGATTGGTCATTCCCTCTCATCTCATTGTTTTGTTCCAGATACTTCTCTGATTTTAATTAACTGAAGAACCATGGTAAGCAAGAATTGATTGACTTGTAATTTCAATACTCAGTTGTTTTGATCATTAATGTACCTGTTAGTTTAAGGGCCTTTTCCATCTAACCCCTAACATAGATTAATTGTCTTTGTTATGTTTTTATAGGCGGACACTTCCTGCTCTGACTCAGATCTTGACAGACATGCAGGTAGCAAGAATGTCAAAGATGATCAGGTAATTTATTTTGCAATCGGATTTTCCCCTTCTTATACGGGGTAGGTCATCATCCAGATTTTGCTTGGAATCTTTTTCAGAGGGAACTTCTAACAGCTGGTTCTACTGCTCTCTTGAACAACAGTCCACAGGATGCAGTTTCAAATTACTCATCTGTTTTGGAAAAGATACCCTTTAAATCTAGCCTGGTTAGTGTTATTGATTTATAATTGCAATTTGCCTATGGTTCTAATCAATAGAAATTTATAGTGTTAATGTCTGTTACAATTCTTTTCTTTAGAAAATGCCCATAGCACAGGTGATTTTAAGATATTCATTGTGTGTTGCATTAATTAAGTGCAATGACTATCAAAACATTGCCGATGCTGCCGAATACCTGATGGAACTGATTGATTCTGGTTATGCCTCTAAATTTCCTGCCTTATATCTTGCCTTGGCTAGAGCTTTTTACTCCTTGAACAGGTTAGTCAACTTTTAAATAGAAGTTTCAAAGTTATTTGATCTCATTTATCATATCAGTGATTTGAATTTGCATTCTCTCATTTCTCTAGGTTCAAAAAAGCTTTGGAAATTGCAGAGAAAGGTTTGAAGTCAATTCAGAATATGTCGAAGGTTAAACACCACTCATGGCCAGGCCTGCAGCAAGTAATTGAAGAAACCAGCAAAGACTTTTTACATAAAGAATTACTTGCTCTTCAAAAAGATTGCAAAAATATCAAACCGCCTGATGCTCTTTGCCTTTATGATAAGTGCTTAGAGTATAGTTCTCACATAGTTCCTGCAAGGGAGATATACTTCTCGTAAGTTGAGTGCTGCTTGAGTGGACCCCTAGGTTGTTATTTTGTGTCAAGTTACTATTATACTCTTCTTCTAGAGATCCGGATTTTAAACCATTTATTCTTTTACAATGTGGTGCAAAATGTCAATTTGCGTATCATAATTCCTGTTGGGAACATCTTAAACATGTTAATTCGTATCTGGAGGAACCAAAGGTTTGTATATCATTCAAATTGCTTGTGTCTTACTGCTGTTCTGGTCATTCTACGTCATTTTTTTATTTCTAGGATTTACTTGACATGCCTTGTCTGTCTGAGAAATGTTCATCTGACAAAGATAATGGTTCTGTAATTGTAGAAACACAATTAATTGGTCCTGAAGGATTTAAGAAACCGTTAATGACTTGCCATAGGTTTGTATTTTCGTCAGTTGGAATGTCATTTATTTGCTGGTTCTGTCACTTCATACAGAATGGTGAGAACACAGTTTTGAACTAAACTTGAATGTTCTCTCTTATTTTGCCAGTTTACCAGGTAACACCTCTAATTCAACGCCAGTTTCACAATCGGGATCTTCAAGCAAGGTGAGCTTCACCAAGCCCAATTTCTCACACTTAACGTTCTCTATCCAACTCCAATTATCGATGCAGTGAACCCCACTTTGCCAAACCTGCTAAAACTAAATTTCAGCTTATTTTTTTTCACTAATCTCTACTAACTGTGTATTACATTGGAGCATTGTATAATCTACACATAACCTGTGCCAGGAAGTTCCCTCAAATGTTTGATGTATGTGGTATTCACTGCATCTGACAAAATTCTGTTGTTTTTGTGTTGTTGTTTTTTACAAAGCTTTTTGAAAGTTGTAGGGTGAGTGGTCAGCACTATTAGAGCAGTTAGGTAGGGTAGCTTGGTGACAGACGGAGCCTGTCCTGCAGCTCAACGGTGCTGGCCACCCACCCACTTAAAACATGAACTGTTGGTCCATAGTTAAATTTCCCATCCTTAACTATTCCACCTGTGCCATTCCATGTCGACAGTCTTTTGTGAAAAAGCCATCCGTTCCGGCCAAAACAGGATGGCAATCAAATAACGCAAGAAAAGTACAAGGAGCACCCATAGTGGTCCAATCTCGGTTCACACCTACTGTCATTTCAAGGCCTTATGCATCACCAGCTCCAGCTCCTTATATTTTTTATGGAAGTCCTCCTTGCTTTTACCAACCCATTCCACCTTTCCAAGTGCCACAGCAACCCCCTTCTTTCTATCAAGTGCCACAGCGACCCCTTGCACCCTTTCTGCCTCAGCAACGCTTTGTGGTACCTACTAATCCAACTCCCCATCAAAGGAATTGTGTGGAAGTTGTGGTGAACAAAACATCTGTGCTCAACCAAGGCACAACCCTCTTTATTCCTTTGGCACCTGGGCCAGTTCAAATAGAACAGCCTAGCATCTTAAGTGATTCTGCGACAAGGGTAACAGAAATACCACAAGACTCACAAAAAGAGATGAAATCTGTTGTAGAGGACTTTAAAAAAGTAGTAAGGCAATTAGCTGGATGCCCTTCTCAAAAGATGTCTTCTTCCACTTCTCCAACTTCTTTTGTTTCTGAAGAAGTAGCAATGAAAGATGTGGTAGCGGACTTCAAAAAACTTGTTCATGGATTAGCCAATGAGAAAAGCAAGAAGAAGTCAGATGAAGAGGCAGGAGGAGATATTAATAACAATAGTATATTGCAGGCAAAATCAAAAGTATCTCATTTTAAGGATGAGCAGAGCTCTCGAGAACCTTTACTTTTATCACCATCTATTATTAACACATTCTGCTCATCGGAAGAGGATCTAACCTGTGAAACTCTTAATAGGTTAGTTGATAATTCTATGGCAATTAGTGATATATTTCCTTGCATTCTTTGTTATTGTTTTGAACTTTGATATTTTGTTTCAGTTCTAAATGCGACACTATTCTGGAAATCCTTAAGCGTTGTCGGTCTATGAAATTTGGTTACTCAGATGAAGAATATGTAAGGAACTTCAAAATATCTGAATAATTGTTTTGTCTCTCTCTAACTCTTTATCTATACACCAGTCTACTTCCATGTATAATATAACAATTTCTTCACAGATGAATCCTGAATTACAATGTTTTGGCCACCCTTTTGCCGAGTTTTCATCTTATGTTGGTCCAAATGAAATAGATGATGATGATACTGTACAAGCTGAGTTTGTATTCTCGTAAGTACACACTTCACTATCACTTTGCAGTTGAAATTTTGTGAATTACATTACTTTTATGTCCTACATCCAGTTATTATCAGTCTGTTTTTGACAAAAATGGTCACGACAGAATTGAAGATCTGCAAGAAAAATGGAAAACAACAATCAACAATGATTTAGGGCTTCCAGAGACTTTTACTGACAAATACTCTAGTAAGTACATTTGTGTTTTTTTCCTTCATCAGCTTAATTTTTTTTATTCCTGCTTCATGTTTGTCTTAACTTTGTTGTTTATTAAGATTGTCTAACACCTTTTTTGCTCTTTTCTTTTTCTTATAGGTGTTTCAGAGTTTCTTTTAAGATCAGAACGGTTTGCTGCGATAGATGATATTATTGGAACATCTGATTTACTTCCGGACATGTTTTCAAATGCAGAAACTGAGATAACTCAGAGTGTGTCATACCTTTTGTTTTCACGACAAGTCTCACATACACATAAAGAAGACAAACAATTTTCAACCGATTCATTCAATGATGCTTGGAGGACCAAAATTAACAATAATAACTGTGACACCAATTCGCAATTAAGCTCCTCTTTGTCTGCTTATGTTGATTGTACATCTGACCGCTCCAGGGAAGATTCAGATTTATATTACAGATCAGAATCTGATGTCAGTATCAGTGACAAAGACAGTAATGACAATCCAGTCTCTGTTACATCTAAAACTAGCTGTATGAACTCAAATGTGAATGGCGAACTTAAACCCACATCTGAACCATTTGTACCACAGAGCTCCAGCATATCAAAGGTAAAATTTCTACTCACCTCAAAATAGTAATTCTGAGCTGGGTGCGAAGTAATATAGTTTTCCTTGTCTCAATCGATTTTTTACTGGTTCTTTACCATCCCACCTGGTAGGTAGAACGAATATTGTTCTCAGTGAAGTGTAATATCTGAACTGTCCACACTTTTATCTCAGAACACACAACACTCTCAGGCACGACAGTAGTGCTATTGCACAGCAAAAATGCTGGTCTCAATTAAAGCGATGAATTAATTAATTTTTTTTCAGATTTAATAGTGTTGTTTTGAGATCTCTTAACAAATTTTGCAGATTCTCATCCTAAGTCCCTAACCCAGCTTTAACAGTGGACATTTTAATCTCAGAGGACACAACAGCCACAAATATGGAAGTAAACATGGAAAATTAGGAACCTTGGTGTCTTTTCTAACAATTGACTTTTTAAACTTTTAACTGTTATATTTTGAGAACTCTTTACAAATGTTGAGGGTTGTTTTCGGTGCCGAGCCGGCCCGGCCCCGGGCCCCATTGTTGGGGTGCTCCCCCCCCCCCCCCCCAATCCAATACACCCAGAACTTCCATCACTTTTACTAATACACGGCACTGAGAAAACTGCTCGTCCTTCCTAAAGGGCACTGAGTGTATGGACTTTGTAAAGAACAAGTTTAATTTTCAGCGCAAAATTTATCTTTTGTTTCCTTCTCCCTTGTTTCAGTCTGATGTGGTGTATATGAGTGATGATGATGAAGAAATTGACCACAGTCTTGTAGACTTGCCCGAGGAAAGGTCAGCATGTCAAGGTGAAAGTGATGTGATGTCTTCTCTTGCTGCTCAGAAGTGGAGCGAGGGGATTAACAAAGTCGTAAGTTCACTTTGTATTCTGTTGTTTTAACTTTTTTTTCTGCAGAGTTAAATATTTTACAACAATATGCTAAAATTTCATTACTGTTACCCTAGCATGTGTTAATGCTTGAAAAATGATTTGCTAGCATTTAGACTTATGACACCTGTCTCATTTAGGATACAGCTGAAAAGGATTCGCAAACTGAAGATGTTTTGGATCCAGAGAAAGTTTCTTTAATTAAGGAAAATCAATCGTTGAAGAAGCATTTATCAGGGCTGGCGTATGAGAAAGATGAGCTCCATCAAAGAATTGAATCCTTGCAAGTGGTATGTATTCTCTTTAAATTGGTTTATTACTTTACACACTCTCAAGAGTTTACTGAGACATTTTGGTTATATTTTGTAGCAAATGGAAAATGCCCAGGCAACTCAAGAATCTGAACATGAAAAAACTTTACAAAAAGTTCAGAAGGAACTGGATTTAAAAATTAACTGTAAAGACAAGGAAATAATGGAGGTTTGCAGTTTCATAATTGATTCCAGAATTTCTTCTCTGTTATCTGTCTGATTTGATTTACCAATGGTCTCCGTGTACTTTACATTATAGATTGAAAAGAAATGTTCTGGCCTGGAACAGGATTCAAAGAGGTATCAAGAAATTGTTGAAGAACATGAAAAGAAAATAGCTGACCTTGAGGCCATGATGGATCAAACTCGGAGAAGACATGCAAAGGAAATAAACAATTTTGAAAAGCGATTGCAGTAAGTTTAATATTCAATACAATTCTCTTTAGTGAATGTTTTTCTCTAACTATATTTGTTTAACCTTATCTAATTTAAACTTATCAGAGTCGAAAAGCTGAACAAAGAGCAGGAGTTCATACAATTGTTGAAGAATAAAGATCAAATGTATATACAGCTGTGGAAAGAATTTTGTGATTTTAAATTCAAAAAGTAAGATTCATTCATTTTTGTCTATGGTGTCTATTATACAGTAGCTGCAACATGTCATGTAATAAATGTCAATCTTATATTTTAGGTTTAGACAAGCCTGCAATGATAAAATTAATGTGCTTCTTAAACTCCAAGATATTATGTCTGACACTGTTAGACCTACAAAGGCTGAGATTAAGTCTGCTATAGATTCGATTGAAGACGATATGATAGCCCATAGTCAAAAAAATAGTGATGTAAATGTAAGTGATTTCGTCTTCTATTAATTGCCTATCTAATCAGATGTTGTTAATGTAAGTATTTGTACCACTTCCCTTTTTAATTTGCAGAGTATATTCAACCAAGAACTTGAGAATTTAAAGAATGGCAAAGACATTCAGCTACCTTCGGTGGTTGAAGTACCAGACACACCAATAAATTTGCAATACGAAGGAGCTTTTGATTACATAAAATCTTTACTGAAGCCAAAACAAGAAGACTATGCTATGTCTCGAAACTATCCTGTATCCAAATTTTATCCATCTAGACCTTTCGCTTCCAATGGATTACAGGCATTGTCTCAGACCAGGGAAGCTGAGGTATATCTTCATTACTATTATTTTTTGTTATTCTTATCAGGGGAATGGTGTTTGTAACTGAACTGCATCCCTTTTTGTATCCCTTCTATTTTATTGTAGGGATTCCCTGCGATGCCTCCCTCTTCTCTCTTTGGACAGCCACAAAATGAAACATCCAATTTATGGAATAATACTTATCCAACGCCAAATCCCATACACTCTGCATTGCCTTTTGATGTTGGCAGTACCAATGGTACCCACATTCCTCTTCCGGTAAGAAGTGCAATAGTACAGCTGTTAATTTGTAATTGTCTTTTTAGCACTGTCTTTGATTCTGTATTGTTTTCTTAGACCTTTGGAGCAAGTTCTATGATAACACCTCAGCCTCAACTCAGCACCCTGATGCCCCAGATGATGTCATACCAGCAGTCTAGTTCTCAGAATCCATCTGTTCAGTCCATGATTGGCCAATCTCGCTCAACTCCTAGTCCGCTACCATTCCCGTCAATGAATGGAAGTGCGTTTAACCAAAATCTCTCAGCAGCTGGTGCCATTGGGTCAAAGCAATCAGCCCAGGGTTCCTTTCCAAAACCTGTTTCTGCACCCAATACTACAGTATGTTAATTCATAATTATTCTGTAGTACAATGACTATATATATTTTCTGTTTACTACCCCTGTATTTATATCTCTTATTTAGGCTGTCAAGAGCCCTACACCTGTTCCATCTGCAGCCCCTCCTGCTGCAGCACAACAGGCACAGTCTTTACTAGTGCAACAGGGTGCAATTCCAAAGCCCAGAGTTCAAACTGCTACTGCTTCAATGACTCCTATTGTACCAACCAAGCCCCAAGTTCGTCCCCTTGTCAAAGGCACAAAGAGCGAGTCCAATTATGAAAAGTTGATGAGGAATCTTCAAAAAATGTTCCCGAACAGAAATGAGTGAGACTTTCTTCTATTTGTGTTAATACAGTACATTCTTGTATTATTATTTATAGAAAAAATTAATCATATACTTTTTCTTCATGTTTTGTTTTATAGCATGGAGCTCACTCAAGCATTGAAAATGGCTCGATACCGAAATGGAAATACACTTTCGTCACTCACCCACTCTGATATTGTTGGCAAAGTTCAAGAGATCCTCAATAAACAGAGTAAACAGAGTAGGTTATTTGTGAATATCTACTCTTTTTCTTGGCTAGAAGTCTATGAGATATTTAAATTTGTCTTTTTCAGCTTCCATGGGTTGGGAAAAGTTTGGTCAGGCTGCTTGGGGAACAGCTAAAGCACCCATTGTTGAATGGGAGGGAGGTGATCAAGATGAGTGTTGCATTTGTATGACCTCCATGAGTGCCAAAGAAGTTTATTCACTTGAATGCAAGCACAGTTTCCACAAAGATGTAAGGATCGAGTTAACTCCATTTTCCAACTAATTTCATGTGTTGCTAGCAACTATAACTATTAAATCATCTCATTTTTTCTCCCATTTTCAGTGTATTAGGAAATGGCTTTTGCAGGACAGTGTGTGTCCAAATTGCCGAACTCATTCGACTATGTTGGATGAATTTCCACCATTGGGCTGAAGATCTACCTTTGCAGTAACCACCAAACTTATTTGCTTCACAGTGAGTTGTGAATTACGATTTCCTAATCCAGGCTTGTATCAAGCACAGTATTTAAGGTCAAAAGACTTTTATCTGTGTACTTATAATTTATGAGGTTTGTAATTTCATTTCCTTTGCAGTATTTACAAAAATCTGTTGTCCATCCCATTACTGTTAATTTACTATCTTTGTATGTTCTTCCATTTGTTTGGATTTCAAAATTATAAGTGAATTGCTTCCCTGTATCTTTAAACATTCCTTTACCAGACATTAATAGTCTATGCTTACTTCAGTAACTGTACAATAACAGATTAATGAACCGGTATCTCTGGTGTCTATTTTTTTCTGTTTCTGTCTGAAATTAGTGGTTTACCATACTACTGTATTAATAGATCTTAGATCGTATCAAATTATTTTATTGTAGACATGTTTTTCCTAAACTGCACCATCATTAAGTATAGTTAGTGACTGATGTATACTATAAGTACAGAAAATTCTGTTAAGATGTTTTATGTGCCTATCATGTATGTGTTGAGTTAAAAACCCTTATCAACCAAGTGTTGATCACGACTGAACATTTTCTGGTGACACAGTCAGATTTTAATAGCCCTTTAAACTGCAGTTGTCTGCACCCATAGACAAGGTTTGGCACTGGTTTGACCTTCCAACACCCTACGGGCAGCTAAAACCAGTGCCAAACCTTGTCTAGGGGTGTATATAACTACAGTTTAAAGTGTCATTGAAGTCTGACCATTACCAAAAAACGTTCCCTTGTCAGGCAACTGGTGTTCTATAAGTTTTTATTACTCAATGCAACATATATCAGCTGTACTGATTACAGTATATATGTTTAGTAGAATGCACACTGTTAAAAGAGTTTTGAAAAAGACATACTAACTATTTTAATGGTGTAATGTTATGTGTTTTAGGTGCTCAAACTGTCTTGCTGAAAAGACTGAATTGCTATTAAAACATTTGCTTTTTCTGTAAGATGCATCAAAGTTCCATTCAGTATAATAGATAGTTTTTCTTTGGTTTAATAGTATCATTTGAAATTTTGAGGGCACTAAATTGTTCCTTTCGTCTTTCGATGTTACTATATATTTTGTTGTAATACTTATTTGGGACTTTATACCTAACAGTCAAGAATTTTTCACTGCTATTAAAAAAAACAACAAAAAAGTTATTTTAATCTAGGTTTTGCAACTGTCTCTCTGCAGATGCACTGTGATGACTATTTAATTTTGTTTGTTATTGAATGCTGTGATGCAACATTGTCTTTTTGTTTATCCTTTCCTTTTTTTTGAATTAGGAGATAACAGTTTTATAGAAGGTTCCTATAATTGTTTTGTTGATAGAAATTTAGCTGGCATGTGCTTCATTCATATCATCTTGCCTACTGCTGATGCTGTCTGCATGTGAAGTGCAGATGTCTCCTTTCTGTTTCTTTTTGTTTTCAGAAAAGAAAACTTGTTGAGTTTAAACCTACACTTCAATTCTTGTATATATTATGTGCCTTAGTTGTGCCTGAAGTGCCTTACTGTAACATGATTGCTCAGTGTAGTGCTTTGTACCCTTTATAATTCATCATAAATATTATCCTATTTTATGGTATTTATTGACAAAGAATATATTTCCTGATTAAACTTTAATTCTTTTGCCATAACAGTGAACTTTTCTGTGCCAAGAGAATGTGCTTCTCACTTGTTCGACGCAATGCAATGCAACTTTTCCTGTTCAAATATATTTTTAATCTAACAATTTTGTATTCAAATATTGTCTTTAACTGAGTGTCTAGTGGGACAAGTGAAACCTGCCTGAAAAATGTTAAAACTCAATATTTTGCAATTTTATTTAAACAAAAACAAGCATCAAATAAACTGATGGTAAACATAACAATTTAATTACAGTCATTTTTGAGCTATCTAACTCAAAATTTTCTGAACAGGTACCAATGATTTTACTGGTTCTTACACCATACTACTTACTCACTTAATGTCATTTCATCACAATTTGAATACATCCTCACATGCCCGCCGATCGGCTCTTCAGTTTAAGTTGTTGGTGCACGGCTGTTGCACATAGTTCAAGCAGAAACCTCGGTTGCCCATGTCATTTGGGGCTTCTACATTGTTGGTGTGATAAGCCAGCCGAAAGGGTTTTACTGTGCCTGAAAAAAAAATAGAAATATGTGACCATCCGTCATTCTAAACTTGAGCAATAACGCCCTATATTTCACCTACGAAACAGAAATGTCAGGGATGCAGGTAGGGCTATAAACAGCCACCTCTATTCTCATTTTTTGCTCACGCTCGTGCTCTGAAACGTCACGTTGGTGTCTCTGTAGTACTCACTGAAGACGGTGGTGGGCGTGGTGCCGACCTCCGCGCTGAGCGTGCCGCCGCACAGGCGGTCCACGCACGTGGAGGAGGACGGCCCCTGGGACACGCGGCCGACATTGTTGACGCAGGGGATGATGAGCCAGTCGGCCATGCACGAGCTCGAGCCCGCCATGGAGGTGACCGGGTTCTGCCCCCGCGTGTCGCCCGAGAGGGTGAACGAGTGCGTCCGGTTGTTCACTGTCGAGTAGAAAAGTTGTTAAGCGTACCATGCGGCTGAAAAAACGGCGCCTACTTTCGAAGCTATAGTGTATAACCGCCACGCAGGCGTGTGGGCGTTTTGCCTTCTCGCACGAGGCAATTGGGTCGCCATATGGATGGAATGTGGGAGACAATACGCAAAACCGCCCGAATGCGGTAGAAAACTAAGAAAGTGCGGCTACACGGTAATTCGCATATTTTGTACAAAAACGGGGCACTATTTTAAAAGAGTTAGATCCGGTTTTTAGAAGAAGAGGTGAATGAGAGACGCTTGCCTGTGTCGGTGCACTGGCTGTACTGGATCCCGCAGAAGTTCCTCTCCATCCGCACGCAGATCGAGTAGTCTTGGTTGGACAGCTGCAGACCGCCGTTGGGTTCGTAGTTGAACGACTTGATGGTCCCCGACACGCCCGTGAAGTATTGCAGGCACCCTTCCTCGGCTGTGAACAGATAGGAGGGGTTGTCAAGGTGGAGTGGGGGGGGGGGGGCATTCATACCCGGCAGATTACTCGACGAGAGCACGGAGCTCACGGAGCGGGCCGACGTGATCGGGAGCTGAAAAGGGAGTCGTAAAACAAAATAATAAAAAGCCGAAAAACTGGAAACCCGCACTGGACTGGGAGCGGAGCGGTTGGCCTGCGCGGGCGGCGCGATTGACGGTATGGCGGCGTCCGGGTGGGACTTCCCTCCCTCTCCCCCTCTCTCCCTTTGAACGCGTCCAAAACTCGCGGTTGGGATGAATGAATGAGAGACATTCTGGTGTACACGAGAGAGGGGAAGAGAGGGAGAGACAGAGAGGAGGGGACGCACACGGCAGCCTGCTTGAGTGTCGGACACTGACATCGTATCCTGCGCGTCGGACCCGTCTGGTCCAGTTTGCGACGGCGGCGATGCCGGTGACCGCGCCGCCACCCGCCGCACGCCGCACCCTTTCCGTTCGCCGCCCGTCTTCCGGCCCCCCGAATTGCTTCCCGCTTCCAGGTTCCCAGCTTCCCGCGTCCGCCCGTCTGACGGCGGCAGCGGCAGCGGCGCCTGCGACACTTTTCCTTTCCCGATTGGGGGCAACTTCCGGCTCCGGCAGTCCCCTGTAACCGTACGCGACCAAAAAGAGCGGCTCCGTTCCCTCCGTTCAATATTTGAGGCAATTCCGGACAAAAATATGAGGGCGTCTGGCCCGCACGTCAGAGACGCGTCAGAATGACCTCTGGCAGGTGCGGCAGGTGGGAGATCAACGCCCAGCAGCGGCGGCGGCGGGAGGACTCGGTCGGCGGCACCTCCACCCGGCTCCTGCGGCTCCTGCTCGTCAGAGACAGATGGGCGCCGTCACTCGGGGCGCTGCTGGTCGGGGGGCCGCTTTACAACAGATTCGCGCGCACCTCGCCCTTATCGCTTATCGCGGGCCCCGCGCGGGCCGCAGCCGGCGCCGGCCGCAGCCCCCCGACCAGTAGCCCCGCGAGCAGCGCGGCCAGACGCCGGCGATTTGGTGCACGTCTTTGCTCGCGCTCCCGCGCGTTGCCCCCCTCCCCCTCCCGCCCGAAATCCTGCTTGTTTTCCTGCCTCGCCGGGATATTTTCGGTCCGGCCGTACCCGCGATAAAAATCAACCCGCTCTGGAGAGGAGGGGAAATTATTTAGTCGCTGCTGCAGAGCCCGCCGGCCGCCGCGCCCGGGGGAGGACAACGTGTGCACCAAGAGGGCCGACGAATGCCGTTGACGGATGCTACTGGGCGCGGCGTGTCGGGATGGGGCAGGGCCTGGCCGCCGCGTGCCCTGGCGTGCCGTGCCCCGGCCTACGCGCCGCCCCACTAGTCCAGATCGGAGATTGTCGCCACTGGAGCTGGACTCCAGCGCGCCGCGCCGCTCACGGAGGAAGGGTTCGGTCTTTTGCCGCGCGCGGCGGGGCCCGGCCGCAGGGTCAGTAAATCTTCCAAAGCCCTGATAAATGGGCTTCAAATCGCCTCCTCCCTCCGCCCTTCGACTGGCCGGCCGGGCCGGGCCGTTGGCCGGTATTTTGATAGGCGACTGAGTCCCCAATTAGGGGACGTGCAGCTACTCCCCGGCCCCGCCCCGCCAGGCCCGGGAATGTCCCGTCCACGGCGGCGTCCACGCCCAACCCTCAACTGGACAACCTCAGTTATAGGAAGCTACCCAGTGGTAGGGGTAGTTTTCCCGAATCCTCGAGAACGAGAGTACTACATCTCACGCACTTGAACAAGCACAGGTCTTGATTCGAGCCGAAAAAATGTGGAATGAATTCGATCACAGAAGGCCCGACCAAGTTTACAGAAGAGGGTATGTCACGTCAAAGTGAGCCCGAGAGTAAAATATTTTTGCCCACTTAAAAATTAAGTCCATGGAAAAAATCCGCCCTGCTTACGCCATACAGAGCCACAGGGGCATACAGAGCCACAGGGTCATACAGAGCCACAGGGGCATACAGAGCAGCAACGTCAAGACAGAGACAGAGAGAGCGGGGGGAGGGGTGGTGGTGGTGGTATCCAATTAAGAGGGGCCTAACTAGATCACGTCCAGGCGGACGGAGCTCACGGCGGCGTGCATATCTCGCGGCTCATACACATTCCTCTCGCATTGGAGGAGGACTTGCCCCGCCGAGGCGAGTACGGCCGGGTTCATCATCTCGACGGCCAGAGAGGCAGAGCCAGGCCGCCGCAGGCAGTGCTTCGGAGGCGGCAGATCGTCACTGTCGTCACGTAGTGTCAGGAGGACAACGCACCTGTCCGCGGGGCGGGTTCAACCCCCCCCCCCCTCTCCCTCTGCGGGCTGCGGATTCGGATTCCGTTCTCATCGATAAGTGACACGCGTGGTGCATGCGCTCCAAAAAGTGTAAATAAATCAAAGTTTGAAAAAAATTGAGCGTTAATCTTTCGTCGATAGGATGTCAGTGACGGTCGGTGACGGTGAAACCGATATGCGCGTCTATATGACGATATTACGGCTGAGGTGACCTGATCGGCGGCAGCAGCGGCTGTCCCCCGCTGGCCTCTATGGCGACGCCGCTGGGGATCCCTTTCGGAATCTCACACACTCTGAAAACCGTGTCTTTCTGAGACCGAAATCTCGATGACTTTGACGTAACCAAAAAATATTTTCATTGCAACAAAGAAAATATATTTTTTTAGCTCAACAAAATTTTAAAATATTTTGTTTTTGTCTCTCGAACAAAAAATGTGACTTTGGTTCCTGGCACGAAATTTTCTTTTTCTCAATTAGGAAAATTTCTTTCCCCGGAGGAGCGGTTTTCTGGGTGCAAGTCGGAATGAACGGAACGGGCGACATGCCACCCGGAGCACTTATCACGCACGCACAAGCAACAGCAGCCGGTGACATTTCGGGGTTTGTCTTCGATTTGTAGGGAACGCTACGCCCCGCCACGACCAGATGGGCCCGGGCCCGGGGCCGCGGGGACATAACAGTCCATCCTCGTTTACGGGCGGGAGGAGCGATAGTACAGGAGGCGGAGGAGGCTGACGAGGGAGGGCGAGTGGGAGCGCGTGCTGTGGCGCTGCGGCTCCGGCACCCGGGACAGGTGTCTACAGGCGCTGCCGGAGAGAGCTTTGGGTGCATCACAAAGGAAAACGATCGAGACACTTGGTCAAGAACAAGGGTGCGGTGCAAAATGAAAATGCACACATTATTGAGGCACACGATTGTTCACACTCACTATCCGAAGACTTTTTTGTGCGCACATTTCCTACTACACTGAAATACAAAATAACAGTTTTTGTAAACAACAGACGAAACAACGTTAGTAAAATAAAGAGGCTGGTAGTGTTGACACAAAATTTCACAAGAACACACACTAAATGTCAATATGCACATTTTTGGTGATGTACCGGGTGTAACTGTGAATACGCAGCAGTGCTGCGGGTTTGCCTACTCTTTACACCCGTAAGGGGTCATGGCCCCAGCGGCCATATTGAGTATGCAACCCCGCAAAACTGCTGCGTATTCACAGTTACACCCGGTACATGTCTGTACGAATTTGTGCATCGTTAGGTAAAAATGTATCGTGAGTGCAAGAAAGAGATGTCTTCTCTCTCGAACCCAAATGGGCCTCCGATTGAAAGCGGCCTCTGGGCGTACGCACTCGCACTAAAGCGGCCGCCCAGAGTGACTCCAGCGGGGTAGCGTAGCAACGCGCTGGACGACACCCTCGTCACCGCTTAAGCAGAATGTACTTACCGCGGTAGGTCGAACTGCACGGAATCTGACAGATCTTCACCTTCCAGTTCCTGGCGAAGGACGGCCCGCTGGTGACGAAGGTGAGCGTCACCGGGTTCGTCACTCCCATCCCTGCGTCCACGTACACTGCAGCACACACACACACACGCATGGTCATGTTCGTGCAGAGCGCCACACTTATTGGGTTCCGTTTGGTCGCGTGAGGGTCGGGCCCGGGGGGCCGCCAGCTCCCGGAGCGTCCCACGGCCCCCGCGGCCCGCCCCGCCCGGGCCCGGGCTTATTTTCAGGGAAGTGGTTGTGAACCCCCCTGTTATCCACTGCGCCCTCCTGGACCCCGGCCGCAGCATCGGGCGGTTCCGAGAGGACACACGGAACTCATCCGTGAGGAGGGCGGGGTGTGAGTCACTCTCTGATCGCAGACGAGGGGGCCTGGGGGGCCCAGCGCCCACAAGGGAGGGGGGGGGGCAAAATGACACAACACGGTAAAAAGAATGTCTTGAAATCCCAGGAAATTTCTGGGATTTCAAGGTTGGGTGGATAATTTCAAGATTGGCCCTTGAAATCCCAGACTCTGTCTTGAAACCCGTAGCTTCCAAGGGAAATCCTTGGAATTTTCGTCTGGTATTCAAGGGTTTTCCTTGAAGTATCCAGATCGTGCTTCAAGGAAAACCCTTGAATACCAAACAAAAATTCCAAGGAGTTTCCTTGGAAGCTACGGGTTTCAAGGCAGGGTCTGGGATTTCAAGGGCCAATCTTGAAATTATCCACCCAACCTTGAAATCCTAGAAATTTCCTGGGATTTCAAGACATTCTTTTTACCGTGAACTAAACCCTCCATCACCCTCTCCTTCCCTCCTCAAAGGGCCATCCCATCTCAGGACTGTTTTCGGGATGGCGATGGAACATGACTGAGGGTTACACCTTACACCTCTAAGAAAATGAAAAATTGGTAGAAACCATCGTATGGTTCCTTCGGCAGGGATAACCATAAAATATATGGTTCAGAGAACAATCTGTTACTGGTGAAAAACATATTTTATCCTTGTCCCCTGAAGTAAGCATACGTTACTACAGATTTGCATTTTTCTGGGGTGTTGTATGCACTGCACTGACAATAAATGCAGTTTGTTTGCCAAACTTTTGGGCTCGGCGGCACTCACTGTGGTTGCCCGTGTTGACGCCGCAGATGGCCGGCACCGGGTTGCCGCCCGACACGATGAACTGGTCGTTGCTGCACACGTGGTTCATGGGCTCCGGGCCCTGGATGTTGAACTGGTCAAAGTCCAGCCTGCATGTAAAGAAAAATCGTGTCAATGCGAAAAATAAATAAAACTAAAGAGGAGTAATATGTCAAAAGCCTATTCGTTTCAAAAATATGTAACTCTTTTTTATTTTTTATTTTTTTCTTGAAGTGCTCAGCTTACCTGAACTGGCATATGTCGGGTCGGGCCTTGTGGATCGTGAGCTGACAGGAGCCGGTGCCGTCCGAGGCGGCTGGGTAGCCGGCGTTGGTGAAGTAGGTGCAGTTCTCGCGCGTGCTCTGCCCGCACGTCGCCATAACTGGAACAGGGGCGGGAGGCGAGACAAGTAGTGAAAGAGCAAAGAGCGCGCAGCAGGGAAGAAAATGACGCTTTTGTTGGGATTGGTTGGAACAATTGAAGACACGTCAGACCTCTGGTCTGCAGCTTTAGCCCGCGGCGGCGGAGGGAGGTAGGGTGGTCTCGCGCCGTAGCGATACAGCACCGCCACGCAGGCGCGCGGGAGGGTTGCCTACTCGCAGGGCGCTATGAGCCTGAGCCGGCCGCTCGTCGTCGGAACCGCGCGCTAGAGACGGCGGACATCCTCGTTTTAAAACAAGAAGTTGTCTATCCGATTAAAAACGAGTAAAAATCGTAGTTAGGTAACGAACTCCCCCGCCGTCACACTCCTCTCCGCCCGCGCCACGCCTTGCGCACGGCCGCGGTCCCCCCGACCTGATAGCGACGCGTGGCGACGGGGTGACGCAACGGGAAAAGCGCTGCTCCATGCACCTGGCGCAGCGCGGGCGCCGCGGGGCCCTGTCCTTTGTGGGCGTCACGCTGCGCGTCACGGAAGATGGACACAAACTAGAGCGTCGCGGCGCGGCGCGGCCTGGCGACACAACAGCGGGCGCGGCGGGGCGGGGCGGGGCGGGGGCGTTCCAACTGGACCGGGAAGCTGCCACACCGAGGTGTATGTGTATGTACCCTACCTCGTTCCGTCTGCCACCGCGTCGCAGCTGTTGCACATCGCCGCCGTCCTCCACGAGATCGTCCTGGCCCTGGTGACCTCCCCTCCTTAACGAGATCGTCCAGGTTCTGGTGACCCCCCCCCCTCCTTAACGAGATCGTCCAGGTCCTGGTGACTCCCCCCCCCTCCTCAATAAGATCCTCCTGACCCTCCTCCTCCACGAGATCGTCCTGGTCCTGGTGATCATCCTCCTCAACGAGATCGTCCTGGTCCTGGTGACCCTGCTCTAGTGGTCACTACCCTCCTTCCTCTTCCTTCCGTCTCCCAGGGGTCTGACTATACTCACAGACGCAGCAGACGCCGAAGCTGTTGGCGCACGGCCCGGATGCCATGCCGCCCCTGGCGCCGCACTCGGCCACCGTCAGGCAGGTGCCGTTGTCACCCGAGGCCGCGGCGCAGGGCTGGTTGTCGAACTGCACCACGGTGAACAGCGACAGGACTGCGGACCGAGCACAACAAATAATTTCAATACAAGATCTGTGTTTAACTTTTTAAAATATGTATTTAGAAAACAAACAATATACTCACATCTGGCGTCCCTGTTGTTGGGCGTGGTCTCGTGCGGCGGCTGCTGCAGCTGCTGGAGATGCAGGGGGTTGGTGGTGGTGGCCGTGACGAAGCCGCCATTCTGGTAGCTGCCCCCGCTGCCCCCGCTGCCCCCGCCCCCCTGGGCACGCCGGCGTCCAGCGGTCAGCGAGGCCTCCCCGTCCCGTGACAGCTGCGGCAGCCGCGCCAGCAAAGCGAGCGAAGCGCGGGCAAAGAAATTGCAAACTCCAGCCGAGCCGAGTCGAGCCGATCCGAGTCGAGCCGAGCCGAGCCGAGCCGAGCCGAGCAGGCCGGGCCCCATCCCATCCATCAAACGGCAATCACACAGAGATTCCCCGCCGCGTCAAGTCGCCGTTTTTATTTGAGCCCATCCCATTGCATTGCTTCGCGGCCAGCGCGGCGCAGCGGCCGCACTGCAACCCGCTATGGTCGAGCCTCTCCGCCGCCGCCGCCGGGGCTTGCGTTCCACGCGGACAGGGGACAACTGCCTGGAATATTTGTCCTTTTCTCCGAGCAAAGTCAACACCCGCCTTTCCTCTTCCTCTTTGCCCCCCCCTCCCCCTTTTCCAAATCTCTGCTCTGTTGTATAAGTGGCAGCAGCCGAACAGTTCCATCAAATGCTTTTGTGAGATCGTCAACAGCTAAGTTTGGACAATGGAGAAATATGAAATTTTACATTCTCATGCGTACAACATTTTGGTCTCGGTGGGTTCTCCTCCCAGTCCAGTCTCAATAAAAACATTTTTGGGTAAAAACCGACAACAAAAATAGAAAGGTGGGCGGTGACGGCTGCTGACCCAGTTTGTAGACCCAGTTTGCTGGGCGCGATATTAATGACGTGATGTACCGACAAAAATAATAATAACACACGACTCTGGCGCGCATCTCTGTGGGAAGGACGCGTCACTGTGACCTCTCGTACCTTTTTTGTTGTGTGTGTGTGTGCTTGTGTGTGTGTGCGTGTAGAGAGACAGAGAAAGATAAAGAGAGAGAGAGAAATAGAGAGAGAGAGTGACAGAGAAAGACAGACAGATTGAGAGGGAGAGAGGGGCGCGGGGAGAGGGAGGAAGAGAGGTGCGATAGCAATTCTTGCGTGACTTGATCGCCACTCCTGTCCTTGCTCCTCTTTTCCCTGATGGCCGCTCGTGCAGCGACTCGACTTTGGCGACACAAAAATACCAATTGTTGCATGGTTTTGATTCATGTCAGCGGACCTACCGGCTTGACCCTCCTCCTGGTGCCGTGGACGGGCCGCCTCTGCCTGACGGTCTGCTTGTCGTGCTGCGGGAGCTGCTGGTGCTGCTGCTGCTGGTCGTCGGCGGCCGCGAACGAGCTGAGCAGCGCGAGGAGAAGCGCCACCCCGAGCAGCGTCATCAGCCTGGTCGGCGTCATGCTGCGGACACATTCACGTCAGACGGGCGTCGGAAGAAAGTCCAAGAAAGTCGCAAATGAAATCCAAGTGTTCGGATGTGTGTGAAAAAAAATCGCACACACCTGCTGTTGTGTGACAGAATTTTAACACACCTCCAGATGTGTGAATGACCATTCACACACTTGAGTGGGCCAGGCAAACGTCTAACTTTTTCAGTGTACAAAATCTCAATTTTATCACCCTACAAGTGTGTGGATATTTTGTCGTACAACTGCAGGTGTGTTTATTCTTTTCTCACCTGCAGGTGAGCGACTTGGATTTCCATTGCACAATCTGGTCAGAAAATATCATGGTGCCTTCAGTGAATGGCGTGCACTGGACCGCTATAGACCTCACACTGCGAGGACGAGAAGTGTTAGGAAACGAAATGAAACACCCCAAAGGTCTTAAACAAACCTTTGGAATGGAAAGGGGAGGCAACGAAAGATCACTCCCCGTCAACACGCGGGCGCAATTTGTCGGAATATCTTTCTGTGTATACTTTTTAAGATCTCGACAAATGACACGGCCGTCAGCTAAGAGCGCGTAATGAGTGAGGTGCATGGTGATTCCTAGGAGCGGCGGCGGCGGGGAGATGCGCCACCTCACACCAGCGTAGTGCACCACCCTGGGCGTGGCGGGGCGTGGGGCGTGGCGGGGCGTGGCGGGGCGCGGCAGCAATAACCAACTATTTCCCACACGCGATCATAACAAACGACCCGTCGGCTACTCGTTGATGAGTTCCTCGGACACGGCCGCCCCGGCCGGGGCAGCGCGTCGGCTCGAGTCATCCGTCCTTGTTTCCCACCGCCTTACCGGGGGCTGGACGAGGTGTCGGGGATCCGCCCGCCGCCACGCCGCGCGGGCGGTGGCGGTGCGGCGGGTGGGTGGGTTGCTCACTGCTGGTGCTGCAGGTTCGCGGATTTTTGAATACCGGGCGGGAAAAATCTCATTAACGCATAATGGGCGCCCCGCGGCGGGCTCCGGGTGGGGCGCTCGCTGCAGGCGCTTATCACTGCACCTGCGGCTGCACCTGCGGCTGCTGAGCGGCGCGGCTGGGGGGCGCGGCGCGCGCAGCTGGGGGCGCACCTGCAGCTGACGGGCGTGATGGACGGGGCACTGCTGCGGCGCCGGAAGCGAAGGTGAGGTCGTGCGGACGGGACGTCGACTGCGGGTGGCGCCGCGGCACCGAGGGCTTTTTATCATTTCACGGGCCGCGCCACGCCACGCCGCACCACACCGACACGCACGGAGCGCTCCTGGCGCGTGAGCGGCACGGGCGGGAGCAGCGCGACACGGCGACAGGCGCACTGCACGTTACGTGTCGCGGCGGCAGACGACGCGTGCCCCGCGGCGTTTGCTCTTCCGTGACCTCTCTGCTGCTCCTGCTCCTCGTCAGGACAACACCATGCGCGGCGCCGGAAATAACAAGACAATCGGTCGAAGGTTTTCCCCGTTTTCCCTCTCGGGCCCGCTGTGGTGGTCGCGGTCCGCATGCCGTCGCTGCGGTGACGTGCGGCGCTTTTCACGGGTCGCGCTCCCCGCGAGCAGGGCGAGTCAGAGGTGGGCTGCAGGTCAGTGCAGCTCGTGCCGACCTACCTGAAGGGGGTCGATGGCAGTGACTGCCAGCGCACTCACACCGGTACTGCACGGCCGGCTGCAGCACCTGCCAGAAGCGCGCCGTGCGTGAGGTAGGTATGCTGTACAGAACGCAGGCGTGTGGGAGGGTTGCCTACCCGCACGGGGCCATGCAGTGAGCGACAACGCGCGGGTCGGGCTTGCGCTTGCCATGGGCCAAAGCTGCACTGCCGGGCGTTTCTTTGCACTCGCCGGTACCCGAGGAGAAAAATGCCTCTGTAAAAATCAAGGAACAACAAGGGGAAAAAAATATAGAAATTCTCTAAAAAGGATTCAGAGCAAATCAAAGAAAATCAGAAAAAAAAAATCAGGAAAAAATGGAGAAAAATCAGAAAAACTGGTGCAAGCTTCAATTTATAGTGAAGTGTCCCTCAAGTTTGCTCCCTCTGCCTGTAAGGCCTCTATTGCCCCTGTGACTGTCTATACGCAAAGTCATCCGCACCGCCGCGTTCTACGACGCGTAGCCGCGTACAGTACGGCCGGGTACAGCACTACCTGTGCGTGCGCCGTGCCATTCGTGCTTAGGGATCGTCCAGAAAGTACGCCCTTGTAAAACGGTTTAATTTCTATGTAATTTATGAGATATTACTCAGTAATTAAAGTGTAATTAAGTGGCAGAAATTAAATTAGAATGTAATTTAAAAGTAATTTAGTGCATTTCGGGTCATTAACCGTTTATTACATGTTAATTTAAAGTTAATTTAAAATAAATTAAAGACGCATTGCCCAGAATAGGTCTAAGTCCTCAAATGAACAGTAAACTGCAATGTTATTTAACTTTAATTAAAACCATACTCAATTTTGGGTGCTGTCAAATATTCTATGTAAGTAAATGGAACTTTAATTTAAGGGTAATTAAGTTACTTTTCATTTGAGGACTTAGAAATTTTCTGCGTGCAATATTTAATTAAGCCTTAATTAAATTTTGCTAAATTACCCGTTAATTACACCGTAATTAAAATCTTATGACTGACATCTGGTCTAAGAAAGACATCCTCTCCGGCGCTAAGCCGTACCAAGAAGCCGTGGTGGCAGAGTGGTTAGCATAGCAGACTTGTAACACGAAAGTCGCGGGTTCGATACCCCAAATTTGGCTTTTTTTCTCATAAAAATGTAATTACTACCATCCATTAACATTACATTAAACCACCAAAATTCAATTACTGAGTAATTGAACATAAATTAGTTTTAAATGAATTTTAATTACTGAGTAATTACATTTCGGACCTTTAATTTAAACATAATGACATGTTAATTTAACAGTCTCAAATTACCAGCAAATTACCACGTAATTGAACACTAATTTAGTTTTAATTTAACCTTTTCTCAAGGGCGCCGCTTTCCTCAGATTAACCTGACGATAAACGAATGCGTTCGGCAAATAACAGGAGTTCGGCGCCTGCGAAGATCAGGGTAGGCCACCCATCAGTGCACGAGTGCTCTGCAGACTAGATATTGCCTACCGATCAGGCGCTATGAGAGCTTGCAATGGTTGGATTGTTACGAAAATACTCTGCTTTTAAAATGTTTAAGTGTATATGTAACAAATCAAATCGCTATCAAATTTTCTAACGAACTCCATAAAAACACAGAGGTTTTTCAAATCCCTTTTTTGATAAATTTGCGAGGTGCAAAATAGTGTGGGAACCCGGACCGATTCGTGGGACCGGCGCCGCGCGCGCCAGGGCCGATCAGAAGGTTTGGGGCGGGAGGGGTGGGGGGAGGGCACCCAAAGGAGTAAAATACGAACCGCATTAAAGGAGCCACTCCGATAGAGATAGCAGGCGGGGTCGGTCAGGCCGGGCAGGAATGCCCCTCCGGGTCCTGCGGGTCCCCCGGGTCCCCCGGGTCCCCCGTCTTGTACCGTGTCGCCTGTTTTTGAGGGTCATAAAGACGGAGTGGAGGCGATCCGGTCGGGCTTTAGTGAATGAACCGGACGCCTCCCATGTCTCACGTCGTCCAGGAGGACGTCTCGATCGTCGTGTGAGCGCGTTCAGCGGGAGAGAGAGAGAGAGAGAGAGAGAGAGAGAGAGAGAGAGAGAGAATAGAGGATAGGGTGGAATGGAGGGGGGAGGAGGGAAAGGGTGGTTACTTTTGCCTTCCACGCCGCACATTTGTGCAGACGTCTGCCCCGAGCGCCTCTCGGACTCGGCGCAGCACTTTACGATCTCTGACCTGAGCCGCTACACCGAGCCACGCCACGCCACGCCACTGATCTTTGGCTGTCCGGACGAGATTAACTTGTTCGCCGCTCACCGCCGCTTTACGGCCCCGTCCCGTCCGGAGTGAATGGGAGCCCGCAGGACCCGGGAAGGAAGGCGCATCTAGAGAGGACCTCGGGCAGGTCTGGAAGGACCTCGGGCAGGTCTGGAACAACCCTTGAAGGACCTCAATCTAGGACACAACGCACGCGCAGAGAGTAGGGACATATTATAGTACCCGCCTCCTGGACCTGGAGGATCTGGAGGCTAGATGTTGACCAGCTTGGAAGGGCAGCACAACAGAGCTCTGAATAAAGACCTGACGCACACCGGGCGCAGGGAGCGAAAAACAAAAGCAATCCTTTCCTTCTCGCGCCCCGTGTTCTGGGCGAGTAACCCGACCCGACCCCAGTCCGTGGACGTGCGCGGACACGGTGGGCTCTCTGGACATCCCTACCGTCGCGGAAGGACTCGGTCCCTCTGCCGCCTGCCGACGGCGTCCTGGCCGGCTGGGGGCGCCTCTGCCCAGATACGCACCTCTCAATGGCGGGAATAGACGCTCACATACCTATTGCACCCCGGCGAAACATCAATTTCATGCCGACTGCACTGTTGTTGTACCAGAAAATAAAACTCATATCAACAAACTGCTCGGCTAAGTAAGTAACAGGACAACGTCGGAAGCATCGGCAGTATCAGCAGCAGCGGCAGCAGCAGCAGCAGCAGCAGCAGCAGCAGCAGCAGCAGCAGCAGCAGCAGCAGCAGCAGCAGCACGGTGTTCGAGTTCCCGCGGCCGCACGCACCACGAGACACGTTTACGAATTGCCGCATTTTGTTTATCAAAGGCCTGAGCCTATTCCATGCAAAACGGTTCCGGTACATGATTTTACGGGGCGCATGATCACAAGGCTCGTTTGAACAAGTTCTTTACGTCTGTGCTTGTAAATGCGCACGTCCGAGCCGTGACCGCTGCTGAGATGAGAGCAGGCTTCGGGTCGGGTTAACCCGTGGAGAACAGTGACTCGGACAAAGACGACCTGGGGTGGGGGGAGTTTGCTCTGAAATCCGCAAGTAGGTAAGCAAAAGGAGAGACAAGAAGCATATTTTTGGTAATTCATTAATGTGTATATTTTTAGTCTTTCTCAGCTCCTCGGTTGGACACTATCGGTATGTAACCCAAAGCAGACGGTTGTGATTCCTTTCCGGCTCTACGCCGGATAGTGTGCGAAACCTCGATTATGTGGCTCTATCTCACGTCACATCAGCCGGGCCCCGACCCGCGAGTCCCGCCGCCGAGCCGCAACGCGAAATGCCATTCATAAAAGCTATGAAAAATACTACTCGTCAGGCCGGGCGGGCTGGTGCGAGGTGCGCGCCCCGCGGCCGCGCGCCGCCCCCACCTTGCGTGAGCCGGCGGGGCGATAAATCAGGGGCAAAATATTTAAACATGCGTACGTACAGGAGCCGAGGCAAGGAGGTACACACAGCGGACAAGGAGAGAGAGCGAGAGAGAGGGAGAGGGATGCCAGCGAGCGGGACCAAAGCCCCGCACACTTCTCTGCAAATTCTCATGAATGAACACAAGGCGGAGCGTGGCGGGGCGGGACTCGCTCCCTGAGCAGCAGGAGCAGCAGCTGTCGACACATGTCAAACAGGTGTCGTGTCCACACAGCGCGGCGTAAATATAGCGCGAGTCAGCAGAACACCGCCTTCCGCGCCCCTCTTTTTATTATCACTTATTTTGTTCTTTTCAGCGTTGTGGCATATACACCGGCACCGCTGCGGACAGGTAGGAGGACGTATGTCGCAGGGCGAGAGAGAGTCAATCCAATATATCGATTGCAATCTGCTTCCTCAGGTTTCAGTCTCTCTGCTCCGCATATGCGCGCGCCCTGCAGGACCTTTGCCTTGTTCTTCCGCGTGTCCTTCTCCTTCTTGCCTTCGGTCTTATCCTCCCTCCCTCTATCCCCCCCCCCCCCCGTAAAAGAAGAAGAAGGTGACTGTCGCCGTCACTTGGGAGAATTAACCGATCATCCATGGCCAAAGTAGATGTGGGCGGGGGCCGTATCAGCCGGCGGCATCGGCGTGGACCCTCCGCCCCGGGCCGGGGCCGCTGCCCGGGCCTCGCTGACACCTCGCCTCCCCGACGGCGACCCTCTCATTTACTAAATGCCATCCTGCTGGAGTGCCGGGGCCGAACTCACCCAGCTGCTGCTACTGGCGAGGCATCGCCGTACTATCGGTAGTCACCGTCGGCCATCTGACTCTCGGTATGCATAGCGAGCGCCCCCTTATCTTGGACTAAAAGCATCTCAGAACAGCAAAAG